TCTGTGAAGCGGCGCGCAATGGGAGTGTTCATTGTTCCTCCGACACCTCAGGCTACTATGTGACATTTGCTTCAGGATAAACATTTAATCGTGAATGCTTATTATATATTAAGCCCATATAGTCCTTTTCTATAGTGGGATAATACACTTAGAGCCCGTGTTGCTATACGAGGCTTATATAAGGCTTTTACATTTTTGCAGCTCCAGACAGGGAGAATAAACCCTTACTTTTCTCATTTAGTGGGGGAATAATAATTAGATAAACACAAGTCAAATGAAAATTTTGCCAAATAAAACAAAAAAATCGCAATTACAGTAGAGCCTGCAATACTTCACACGGCTATGTCAAGAGAGGGCTGCAGCAGACGGGCTAACGTTAGCCCTGGCTGTGGTCAGACTCGGAGGTCCGCTGGTTGCCACGGTACTCTCAACATCAGAAGTTTTTTATAAATTACGCACTAAATCAGTAAATGGGCCATATAGTGACAATTAAAAGTATAATCCATTCGCCTCAAATGATCTTAAAACATACTTTTATAAATGGTTTAGGAACCAAGCTCTTCACTGTTAACTGATCCAAGCTCAGCACGGATCATTTTTCAGAGGGTTGTGTCTAGAGATAACTTTTTTGACTCCAGATCCCCCATTTCTGCCTTATGGCATTCAGGACACTCTGACTGTTGGGTCATCCAAAGAATAGCCTCCCCACACTATGACTGGCCCACCTTGCTAGAGGTGCTAGAGGATGTTGCAGGCAACATAACATGATGTCTCCAGACTCTGTAACGCCTGTCACATAATAGTGAGTCAGTGTGAAGCTGCTTTCATCCATGAAGAGCAAAGAACACCAATGGCAAATCTGCCAATTTTGTGTCTCCTAGCAAAAGACGCAGTTTTATTGTTTTGTGTTCCCTTAATTTGTTTTTAAACAGAGTACATAAACTTCACACAGAAAGGATAGAATCTGGGTTTGAACCCTGGACCTTCCTGTTGGAAGGTAACCACACCTAGAGATTAAACTGTAGCAGAGAAAAGTCTTACTTGATGTATGTGTTGGCGTTGCCTTCAGGAAAGACATAAGGGTGTTTCTTCCTGAACACGTGGCCCACACGACTGCAGGGCAGGATCTCCAAACTGCCGCCACACTGCCAAACCCGGAACGAGATCTCTGCAGACAAAAAGACACATTTTAATCCTATTCTGTCATGATTCGTTTTCTTAGATCTGGCTGAAACTGTAAAACAGTTTACAACTTGAGGTTTATCTATTATGAGAGTCTCAAAATAATAATTTTTCAACTGAAAGTCAGAAATGAGAGACATTACATTGAGCTCTTAAACTATGCTAGGAGCCATGAGCAGCAGCATATAAACAATGCATATATTACAATGCATAAAAACAATATTTTCGCCTAACAGAAAACTGGATCTATTGGAATCATTGAAGGCCTATGGGGAGATTTGATGTTGTGAAAACATACCAATTATTCTCACATTCAAAACACTAACTACACAAGAAAAAGTGATGCACATTCAAAATGGCTCCGCTGTGTCCCGCATCTCTGTTGCTCTTATTTATGAGTGTTAAGCTGGGGTTCAAATTCAATACCTTGGATAGTATTACAGTACCTTTACAAGCATAGAAAGGTTTACATCCTCTCTCGCTCCACATTTAAAGCAATATTAAAACTAAAAGATTTCGAATGATTTTCATATATGGGAGAGGTTGCACATGATCAATGCCCCATACCAGAATATTTCAGCATTGATCAGCACATAGAACCCCCATCCCTTTAGGCTCAAAGGAGGCATGTGTTTTACTGATGCTTTTTGGATTGAATGCAAAGCAAAGCATTATTGTAGGTTTCTGGGATGACCTGAGGACCAACTGAGCCTAAACAACGGAACAGCACATTACCACAAAAGACCATCTCAGAATACTGTTTGGCTGTTAGCTGCTGATGTGGCTTAAGTTAAGATATGCTAAGAGGTTTCTATAGGAACTAATTTGTAAACAGGTCTCTGTTTAAAATGAGATCTTGGATCTCATTGAGACTGTCTGTATAAATAAAGGTTAAATTGATAAGAAAGTGTTTTTGTTTTTATTATTGTGAAATATCTTTATGTAATCTAAGATAAAAATATTTAATAAATTATTGATTAGTCCTGAAGTGGGAAAATCAATCACTGAATAATGTCAAAATGGCAATATTTATAAAACCTTTAACCAGTTTGTAAAAACACCGAAGGGAGGAACTAAAAAGCATTTTAGCCTTAAGGTCCATCTAAGAGTACAAAAAATATGTATATTTAAAAAAAATAAGAAATAAAAAAAAATAAAAAAAACACCTTTTCAATCTGGACTGAAAATGTCAAATGTTTAGAGATTCTTTAAAACACAGTTTGTGTGGGTTGTTTTGTTTTTCTCTTCCTCCACCACCAGGTGGTGCCCTGTCCTCGTTGGTCCTCCTGCACACCTGCGGCTGGTTGACTCATCACTGAGGAGTATTTGAGCAGTGGACTGTCACTACCTCGAGGCCAGAGTGTTTGCCAGTTTTGGGTACTCTAGCCAAGCTGAGATCAGCTGAGTCTAACTTGAGCTTTGTTTCTCTGAGTCTAATATTGTTTTTGTCTTTGTTCTTCGGCAGAAATCCTTCCTGCAGACTGGATGCTTGGGCTTCTACCCCCTGGAAGGATTGTTTGTTCACACACTGAGCAGGGGAAAAACTTCTACACGTACCATTCAAGTTCCCACAGAAATCCAAGTTGCAGTCCGCTCCATTGCTCCTCACAGTCTAACCAAGTCCAACCTGGAGTGGAAAGCTAATTCCCGTTAATGTGAGTCCCGTTTCCGCTATTTTCAAGAACTCAGTCCAAATTCCTACGCACCCTGAACTAACCCCTGTGAACTTCCCTTCTTACTTCCAGTTACGGTTCACCAGCTCTCTGAGTTCCAGAAACCATCTCGAATTGCTTGCTTCAATAAACCTGTTAAACTTTTTCTCCTGGTTCTCTGAGTGGTTTACTGCATGTGGGTCAGAAATCTTAAAAACATCATGACATTCTGGTTCATTAAACTTTTCCAAAGGAGAATTCCCAGTGTTCCGAAAAATATTTCAAAATATTTAGTCTCCTCTGTCATTTTTAAACAAATATTGCGAATGTTCCTGTCTGTATTGTTACAGTCTATGAGAATCTGTAACCATCGACACAATGGAGGCAGCCATGATGGATCACATACGTAAGGGGTCGTAGTATATCAACATGAAAATATAAAACCCTAAATTAAAGAAAACTCTTCTTTGATGTCAGTTATGTTTTCCTAAAGATCTGAAATGAAAAGATGGAAAATAAATAAAACCCTTAATATAGAACAAAAAAATAACCTATTAGAAACTTGGACTTAATTGAAGGAGTGAATGGGAGGCTTTAAATCCATAGAGATAAGTTAGGGGGACTTAGACTGGATTATCTTCATGCTAATCTGTTTTAGCAAAACTGAACTTTGTGATCTAGATGTCAGAAGAGAAAATTTTAAATTAACGTTGGAAGAATCCTGTTAGTTATTTGCTACTTAGCCTCTTTTGTTGGATATATTTGGTGGTTGTTTTCTATCCTTCTCTGATTGTGAAGTAGATCAAGCCTTCCTGAATATTTGATGATTTGCTTACAGACTCTGATGAATTTAGCTTTTTCTGGTGCTCAGTCATCATTTCATCAACACTCTGCTTCCATGGCCTCCTTAAACGTTGGCTGCATCCCCATTCTAAATGCAGCAGCTCATGTACAAAGTACAACTGACTTTGCTATTTCAAAACAATGCTTGTGCGCACATTAATTCATAAAGCGTCGGTGGGTGAGTTCAGGCCGGGAGGGGGAACAAGTGTCCCCAAACGAACAAAATCTGGGAACTCTGAAAGTTTTACGCCAAGAAAAGAAGAAGTGCTGCAGAGGAAGTGGAAATTAGAGCACGGGCCGAGTTTGATGAGTCGGAGGCAGGCATGGAAGAAGAGATGAAACACCAGACAGAACAAAGGAGAACGAGAGGAGTCAGCAAGATGGGGAGATAACTGACACAGAGCGGGGAGACTGACAGAGACATGACAGAGAGCAAATGAGAGTGTGTGCCAGCGAGGGAGGAAAACAGGCTAATAGTGTTTCACTGATCTGAGAAAAGCAGCAGCGGAGAAGCCAGAAAGCTCCAACACACACAGATGGTGGACTCAGGACGACTGGAGGCAGGTCGCAGGAGGAGAGCCAGATGTTACTGCGAGAAGAATGTCTGTTCCTGCCTTTTATCAGATGAGGGGAAAGTTCACCTTCAACTATCTGATACCGAAGGACTTCTGCATTCTTAGCACTAAACTAATAAACTTAATTACTCTGCTTACGTCACATAGTTCCTTACATTTTATGGCTGATGTTCCTTTAATCCCAGTAACATACTGTCTTGTTATTTGTTTCTAAAATCTTAGAGTGGTTTAATGAGGAAAGAAGAAATTTTGAAGAAATAATCCAAAATATATCTTTTTATTTTTCTAAATATATATGGACAATATTAAGAGAAACGTGTCTCTAATGGTTGCAAGCAAATTACATTGTAAATGAGAATAAAAAAAAGGTAATACAGACATGAAACTTTGAAGAAATAAACGTGTAAATCAAAAAAAGGGTTTCAAGAGTAACTTTGGTATTTTCTTAAAAAAAAAAAAAAAACAAGAAAAAAACAAACTACCTAGAAAAAACAAAACCCTTCATGTCAGATTTGGCTTAAATTCAAATAAGTACATTCTATAAAAACTGTATTTTATTTCAAGGAAAAGAAAAAGTTATTTGCACAAATTGTCTTAACTTCTAGTAACTTGTCTAGAGAGAAGAAATCTGAGGGCCAAAGCTAAACAGTTCAGCAACAGTTTATAAACATTCATAGTTCACGCACTAATTAATATTATTATAATAATTAGTAGCAAGAAGGTTCTGGGTTCGATTCCTGGCCCAGGGTCTTTCTGCATGGAGTTTGCATGTTCTCCCTGAGAATGCGTGGGTTCTCTCAGGGTACTCCGGCTTCCTCCCACAGTCCAAAAACATGACTGTTAGGTTAATTGGCTTCTCTAAAATTGTCCTTAGGTGTAAGTGTGTGCATGAATGGTTGTTTGTCCTGTGTGTCTCTGTGTTGCCCTGCGATGGACTGGCGACCTGTCCAGGGTGTACCCCGCCTCTCGCCCATTGACTGCTGGAGATAGGCACCAGCACCCCTCGCGACACCAATAAGGACAAGCGTGTAAGATAATGGATGGATGGATGGATGGATGGATATAATAATTAGTAACTGCAGAGCATAACCATGTTGCTTTTATAAGAGTTTTTATATTGGCTGCCAAAGGGTATAAACTTCCATCCTTGCAGGTAAAACAGAAACATGTCTACAGTATACAGTGCCATATATTTCTATATTGATCATAAACTGATCAATACTTTAAAGGTGAAACAGTAAAATGATCAGTATTAAAAAAACAAACAAAAAAAACCCATAGAAAATTGAGCCAAACCATATTTTGTTCATTTTTGTTTACATATTATTGTTACTGTTAATAGTTAATCTTTTAACATCATCAGATAAAATAATAAATCCTGTTTGACTCCTTTCTGCTGCGTTATTGGTACCGGTCAGAGACCCTGGAAGCCACAGCCTGCAGGTTAAAACAGCATCTAAAGGTCAAACTGGTAATATGGAGTCTCTATGTTGAAGCACAGGAACCACTTTGGTCAAAGAAATCTAAAAAGTTTGACCTACTGGATCAATCTATGCACAGGTTCGTTAACAGGAACCTCTGAGCTCTGGAAAATGAAACAGAAACTGCCTAAAAAGGCAAAAATCTAAAAACCTATTTGAAAGCAACATTTTATGGTGAAGAAACTGTGACTCAGGGCGTGTCAGGGTTTATCCTCATTTGTTTGATGGAGTTATTTACTAACTAAAATAGTAATTATTACAGCTGAATAATACTCAAATGCTCCGAAACAGATAGAATGAAGGGGGTTGGGTGGAGATGGATAGTGGATAAACTTTCACAAGTGCACCTCGGTCTGCCTCAGCTTAAAAACAGCCAGAAAACATTCTTCTGTTGCTGATATATTGGTTATCAATGTCTTCTCAGACAAACTTCTT